CGATTTCGCCATCGCTCGCTAAAAAAAAAAGTTCGGCAGGACGTTTCGGTACAGGTGGACGTCGCCGCTGTCTTCCTTTCAGCTTAGAGCACATATGCCGCAAAGTCAGGCACGCGTTTAAGCCGGGGCTACGCGTGGTTGATTCCAGATTCCAGATCCTCTCCGGCACAGAATGCATAACGTGCTTACTACACCACTCGAAGATGTCATCCTCACCGTGAATTCCCAAATCAGTGCCATCTGATAGACACCGATACGAGACAGATAACGCAGAAGGGAGTCTCGGAAGGCCGAGACTGACTCTGATCTCATAGCGGAAAGATGAGCCGGATGTCACAGCAGTGTATGTCGCGCGACCGCATACGGCCGGGCAGTCCAGTAAGTTTGCACCCAGCCAATACCATTTTACAGAGGATTCGTCAACTATGTTCATGTCGAATGCGGTCCCAACCGCCTGTCACCTGCACACACACGGGAAAAGACCGCCCGAAATGGTGAATAGGTCGGTGACTATACTAAGTGATACATATCTCCATATATCTACCGGTTGCCTTATCTGCGTGACCTACCCGACGAGACACCTACTTCCTCTCCAACGCATCAGCCGCCCTCCTCAGCCCGTTCTTCGTCAGCTCGCCCAACACCCCACCGGCCATCTTCGCCACTCCCTTCAGCACGAACCACCCTTCTACACCATCTGCTAACGTACCCATGTTCCCTGCACTCGGCGTCAAAGGATCTTGCGCGTGACTCATACCGAACTCTCGGTCCTTCTCTGACCTTCCTCTGCCCCTCACTCCGTTTGCGCTGAGGGCTGAGCTCGAGGTCGCGCTAGGTCCAGCTCCTGCCCCGCCCATGAGGATCTTCTTGAGCGGTCCGATCTCGTTGATGATGTCGAGTCCTGTGCCTCTCAGCCAATTGATAGGCCCGTTTCTCGCGCGGAAAATATAATGCAGTTTATCGGTCGTAGATAGGATCAAATGATTCAAGGGATATCTCTCCCTCGGGTATGGTGCCAAAGACGTCTTGGTGCCCAGATCTCCACCTAACGATCGCGCTGTTTCTAGCGTTTCAGCTAGAGAGCGTACATCGGCTAGACCTTGATTAAGTCCCTGTCCAGCGAGAGGATGGATCGTGTGTGCAGCATCTCCTACGAGGGCAGTCCTGTCACCCAAGTACTCTTCCGCGTGAGACAGTCGAAGTGGGAAGCCGGCGACAGATGGGCCGTGGATCGATGTCACCATCGGCGGTAGAATGGCCTGCTCCGAGTCTGCTTCTCCGGCCACAGACGTAGGTGACGTGGCGATGTGATCGATGATTTCCTCAAACATCAATGGTGTACCTTTTCCAGCGTCATCGGCAGCGATCATCCTGTCCGTGAGAGTGGTAAGGGTCGATTCCGGCAAGGTGAACCCAGCATTGACCATCGCCGTCAACGCTTCCATACTCAGCCTCTTTAGGGCAGCTGCGTGTGGAGGAAGAGTCGACCAGACCATTGTGCTGGCTTCTTCGTTGAGCGGTAAAAAGGCCAGAGGTCCTGTGGGCAGGAATCGCTGGAAAGCCGTTGAGTTGGGGTAGAGGGGTGAGGGAGGGTGGAACAGCGTGGCGACGACAGCGTGTGTCGAGTAGGCGTGGCCGTATGATTCGATATTTGAGAATTTACGGACGGGCGAGTTTGGACCGTCCGCGCCTACCTGTGTGGGAGGGTAAACATGCAGTATTAGAAGAGCCCATCAAATTGTAGGTGCAGTGAGGACGTAGGGCAAGACCATGGCTTAATGTCGCCAGTGAGCTATGTGCAGCGACAGAATTGCGACCGTGTGGATGCATCGCGTTCGCAGAGTATCCCCTGAGCCGGACTACTCACCACCAAGCTCCCTCTAATCCATTCTTCCCCTACTCTAAGCCCAACCCACCGCCCGCCCTCACCCAGCCTCATCTCCCCTACCCGACTGCTCTCTCTGATATCTACGATCCCGCTGCCGATCTCCTCGATACGACGAAGGAGTGCTCGTTGGAGATTCATGTTTTCGGTCATTCGGGCCATTGGGTGGCCCAGCGGCGGGAAGTGGATCGTTGGTGTGGAGGAGGGAGACGGGTTTGCCCAGATCTAATTGAGTGACAGCCGCAGCTAGGTCAGCACGACTCCAACTAGAAACATGCCAGCCGATTGACGTTCGAAGTAAGATAGCGACCAACAGCGGTGACATTGTAAATCGTTTTGAGCATGACTCGCACTCACCACCATCTCCTCCACAGCGCATGATCGGCTCTCCTCGATGTGCTTCCACACGCCGATGCCTGCGAACATGAGTAACATATATCAGCACGATGAGCCCGATGTGTCAGAGAGTCTCAACCCAACGCAGTCAGTGGTGAAAACGGACTCTCGCAATTGCGACACCTTCTACTCACTCTCCAACCACCCCACATTCTCCGCCGTCAGACTGCTAACCCTATTTTCCCAATCACCCTTCCCAGACCAACTCCTCGTTTTATCCAAGGAAGATCCCTCCAGTAGCAGAATCCTTGTCGTCTTCGATAGCGTCGGCTGAGCTAGCAGAGCACAGGCCAAGGCGAGACCTGCATTGGAACCGCCGATAATGACAATGTCGTAAGTTGATGAATTGGATATGGGTGGTATCGGTTCGAGCTCTGTTTCTACCGCAGCAACCTGATGGTGATGACTTCTAGCATGGCCGAGCTGGCTCCGGACTTGCGATGCGCTCGATACTCTTCCATTCCATGTGGCTCTAGCGCATGGGATTGCCAGCGTCGTGCGTGTCTCCGAGTGGATCGATCGACATGTCGTAGAAGCGCTTCCGACGAGCCCTCTAGATCGTGAGAACCATAAGTTTTTCGTTGCTGGGACATCTGGTCGTACCGCTCGAGGCAGCGATCTGACCGGGTTGCCGGCGACCTTCATGATCGCTTTTTGGCTACTAGTATAGGGTAATATCGTATTCATGCACGAGCAATGTCCCTTTCACATTCATATTTCGGTATTGTGCGAATGTGGGACGAGAAGCGAAATAGCTGGCGGCGAGATCCGCGTCACATCCCAAAATCACCTTTGCTAGCCAAAGCGGGCCGTAGTCTTTGTGATTGATCGATTGCTCCGTCAACAAGCAAGCATATATGCATATGCATGTTGTTCGTACTCGTATGGAGTCAAGAATTCGACATCGCGAGCCATAGTGTCGACCACATATGACTCACGGTTGAGGCTTGCGACTGCTCTAAGTAGCTGAGATTGACCTGGTGCCATCTTACGCGGCGTATATCGATAGAAGCGAAGGCTAGGGCAATGGACTGATCGATACGATTTGATTGTTGTGATTTCGCTCACACTACAGGCGTGTGGGGAGCACTGGAACCAGTGCGTCAGCATACTCTTGTGAAAAATGTTAGGCATCAAGTCCAAAAATCGAGTACTGACGCTACGTATTTCATTACTGGGCGACTGAGCCGATGTTCTGCCTTCAGCAGCAGGAGACACATGAATTCGTGCATAGTTGTCTTTCCCACGACTCCAGCCCATTTATGTTAGCTTTTGGGGTCTCTGTCGCGCATTCTCTTTACCTCTTACCGTTCACCATATATTGTAATCGACCTCCAATCTGTCCTATCTGCTCAACGAGGTCGGTTGCTTTTAGCGGCAACTTATCAGTGCGTCGTGCCTTCGACGTATCTTCCCTTCCCGCTAGACTGTGACTGCCCCGGAGGTCATGACTGAGCTCCACCATGGCTTCTGAGCGGACAGCTGGCTTGAAGGAAACAGGCGCAAATCAGCATGTAAGCGCTTCTCTCTGTTGTCGTTCGGGTACTCTCTCGTCCTGACCAACCTGATGGCAGGCGTAAGAGAAGACAGGTATCAAGGACAAGAATAAGAAGAAGCAGATGTCGATTCTCGCATAATCTCAACTTTTCCACACAGATGATGACATGGTAGAATCCGCAAAAATGATTGGCGGGCTGGCTGCCTCAATCAAACAGACGGTAGAAGCCTCGCACATCACGTATCAGGTCTCCTTTCTCGAACCCTGCTTCGGCCTGACCTGTTGAGCACGTTCACAAGGAGAGCGCTCATTCCGTAAGATAGCTCTCACCCACAGCGTCCGATTTGGCAAGGGAATCTCCCAGAGTACGCTTGACAGGCGGTCCGTCACAGTAGCAGGCATTTTTTTCCATGTCATGCGTTCTCAGTGTTCTGTGCCATACAAGCATACCATGAGTCTGCACCGGCACTAGTGACAAATACCTTCCAGCACATTAAGGCCATGGGACATTTGCCCGTTGAGGTCCGCCAATGAGCACATGCTTGGCCCAGGATATTTGCGCAAGGGACAATCCCGGCAGCTTTCATCTTCTTTCGCTTCTGAGGCTTCGTGGCCTTCTCATCCTATGCAAGGGCGGTTGCCTGCTTGTCGGAGTTCGTTTGAGCCATCTCAGGTCAATGATCTTCGTTCGTCGGATTGGAGCTTGTATACGGGTTTGGACGGTAGAATCAGGGTCAAGGAGGGTAACGGTTAAGCTAGATACATGCGCAACTTTGCGGCCTGAACAAGTGTATATGAATATACAGCTCATAATTTCTTTTAATGACGGCAAGAGATTTGATAGTTTAGCGTTTCTCGGGAGATCAACGGTATCCGACACTGAAGCGAAACTGTCGTTGATGTATGCAGCAGTTCACCCATAGCATGACATACAAGAGATGGACAGGGCAAAATATATTGCTGATGAAGGTGGATGTTGGGTAGAAGTCGATGAGTTCACCAAAAGGCACCCTCTTCGAGTACACCGTCAGACATTTGACGGGCATCAATCTGTACGTTGTACGAGAAAAGCCGCGACGGACTCCGCACCTACGGTCTCAAAACGATGTGGCGTTCTAGTGGCACAGCGAACATCCTTCTCGAAACCTTCTCGAAACGAATCTTCCCATCGCGAATCAACAAGCTTTGACTATACCACAAATATTTCAACGTGTCAGCAACGCCTGCTTGGCCCAATGGTTAAGGCGTCCGCTTCCTATGCTGTTTGGAACTCATAAAGAGTGTCTAAAATTTGCGACGAGCGGGAGATTCTGGGTTCGAGTCCCAGGGTGGGTTGCTTTTTTGACGTGTTTTTGTACGTCTTTATACCTTCTGAACATCTGACGGCGAAATCCGAACGGAAAAAGAGGGTTTACTTTTCGCACTACATGCTTCTCAGATCGGATGACAAAACACGCGGTGGGCACGTGTTGACCACGTGCTTGGAGCGTGAAGATGCCATGTTGTTGCGCCTCATGCGTATCACCGAAACGCCGGCACGTCTTCCCTCTGTCATGATAGACGCGCCGAAGCGCCACATGGACAAGGCAAGCAGCACGTGATTGGGTCTCTGTTACGTAATTAATCCAACGGATCTCCGAACTCAATCGACTGAAGCTCCGTTATCTAGTTCGCCTAATCGCCGCTCGACCCTCGCCTAATTTTCGCTCGCCTATCCCTCGGCTGTCCTTCGCCATACCCCAACGGTAGTTGCCGCTATGGAGAAAGATAAACAGTACCAGGATGCACCACAACGTGAACAACACCTGTAGACCACGTGTAAGGCACGTGTAACTACGTGTTATGTCGTGCGATCTGCGAAAAGTAAACCCTGGAAAAAGCCAAGAAAGTGAGCTTCCTACCGCGATTTCAGGCGAAAGGACCCCTGAGCTGAGATCTTGGCGCCATAAAGGGTCGGCGTTGTGTTTTGCACTGCATCCAGAGGCGACATATGTGTGTATTTGAGTAGTGGACATGCGGTCCGAACGTCTTTCAAGATCCATGCCTGATCGGAAGACGCACTGGCCGGGTGTCGAGAAGGCCGCCGCGATCCTGTGCAGCCACGGAGACTTATGCACTAGTAAGGGTGGCGGTCATTTGGGTGGCACGCATCTTGCGAACTGCCGACCTGGCCACCATATTTGCTATTAGATATCAATGATTTCAGGTCATTCAATCCCTGCCATACCGTATGAGCACATTGACCGTACGTTGAGCCCATCTCTCTACGTCGTGACGATCTGGACACGTCCTGCCGCTGAGATCTACATCGAACCCCAATGTCTTCATACGACAAGCCTCTGTGCTTGTTCCGAGCCAAGAGTGCATGTGCCCGCATACACACGTTTCGCCTGAAGCATATCTTCATGTTGTAGAGTCAAGCACGATAATAGCATCTCAAGAAACGATCGAAGACGGGAATATAACGAAGCAACCTGATGGGGACGGTGGGGGAGAGCGTACAACGTATGTCGGGTAACGTACTGCAATGTAAAGGGCAAGCGATTTACTATGGTCAAATTACACCATACAACCGCCATTGTATTGCACACAAATACCGCACGCCAGAGTCTACGCTTTCCCTAGCCCGCGCGAACAGAAGACTACGACTACCATCCCATTCATCCCCGAGCTCGCACTGACCCGACCAAAGCCGACCACGCATCAAGAAAACAACCCAAACAGGACAGCCCGACCGCGACTCAAGCCCTCTACCAATTACGGAGGGGTGGTGCCCGGTCCAGAGTTTGATGAAGGCTTGCGAAGCGAGAAGAATCTGAAGGGTTTCCTCTCGCCCTTGTCTTCCAGCCCTTCGCCCACGGCAGTCCCACCGCCGATACCTCTAGGCAGAGCGCTCGAACTGGCAGCCTTGAGATGGGATTCAGCGGACGGCCAGCCTGAAGCTCCACCTTCGGTCTCGCGCGTGCCCCCACCGCCACCACCCAGAGCACCAGTCCACCGTTTCCCAAACGGTGCCCAATTCGCTGCCAGAGCCTTCTTCTCGCTCGATGTGGGCGCAAAAGGTGATGGCGAAGACTCGTATGTGCCGGAGAGGGCAAGCGAGTCGTTGGACGTGGTAGGATGCATGAAGCCGCCAAATGTCGAAGGGATGTTGTCGGACGAGACGGTACCGGAGAACCATCGTCTCGATCCAGGCAGAGCAGGCAATCCGGGAATGTTTGGAGGCGAGGCCGTGGCGGCTGTAGCGTTATTCACGTTGATAGCAGGGTTTGACATCGTTGAGGGGTAGCCAGAACCGGGGTTGGACGAAGTCGGGGCGGCGAGCAGTCGGCCGTACATACCCGAGCCTGACCCGCTGTGTCGCTTCATCGGCGGATGATCCTTGAGACGAGGTTCTGCAGTCATTGGGGATCGCCAGATATCCTCTTCACCACCAGAATCAGAACCTCCAGAATCATCGCCGTCATCTGCCGCCTCATCAGACACAGTCACGGGTAGAGGCAAAGGTGGGTCATTGTCGAGGTCAAACGATTGGGGTTCATCAAAAGTTCCGGGAAGGTCTTCGTCACCGCTGACGAGTGGTGTCTGATCGCCTTCAAGAGAGCTGAACAAGCTTTGAGGTAGAAGGTTCGCGCTGAAAGAGGTCGAGATGCCGCCGTTGGGCGATCCGGGATCGTGTCCGTAGATGTCCGATTCAGAGTCGCTAGGTGGATGAGGTGGCGTAGTCGTCCGCTTGACAGCAGCGGCGCCTGGACCGAAATCTTCGAAGCCCGTGAAGTCGGTAGCACGCCTCATTTCGGCTAAATCACGCGACGAAGCGGAATTAGGGTGTTTCGAGAGATGTCCGAATCCAGTCGAGTTGGAGTGAGCGGGTCGAGCAGTGTAATCGTACCCGAGATGGGGCATTCCGGCTTCCGCCATGTATGCCGCAGCCTGAGAAGCCCATTGATCTTGCCCTTGCCGGTCCGCCGCACCACTACCGCCGCGTCCACCACTTGCGTTGCCGCCTGACCCGTTCTTGCTTGCGCCGCCACCACCGCCGCCACCCGAAGCATTATGTTGGTTATAACCGCCGTGTAGGTAGCCCTCTTGAGCAGCTGCTTCATACGCCGCAGCCATCATCATCATTTCTTCTTCCGGTCCCATCTTCCTCGCCGCTTCACCAGCTTCTACGATCGTCTTGAGTCTTTCTTCCGCTTCGTGGATTAACTGCGACAACTCCTCGTTCCGTGATTCTATATCCGCAATCTCACCCTCAATCCCATCCAGTTCAAGTTTCCGACCATCGATTATTTCCTGAGTCTCAACAACATATCTCGCTCCTTCCTCTTGCAGTACTCTTACATTCTTCTCACTTGATTCCATATTCCCTCTTAATTCCCGGATTTCACCCTCAGCAGCCGATATCTTGCTCTCTAACCCGTCACGAATACCTTCCACCACTTTCAACCGTTTCTCAGCTTCACGACGAGCGGCCTCAGCTTGTCGTTTCTGTTCTTCCAAACTCTTCGTACGGGTCTTGACTTCTTGCCGCTCCGCGTCGTCCTCCTTTCGGCGGTTCCGCAACTCGTCAAGATTCTTCTGCAGATGTGAATGGGCGTCATGAACGGCTTGTTCGTGCGAACTCAGCTGAGCTTGAAGTTCGCTCAGGACGCTTTGGGCGACTGTCAGATCAGCCTTGAGAGCTGTTATGACAGGATTGTTGGCTATTTCGGGAGAATCGGTGGGAACGGTTGCGGGTGGCGTGGTGATCAAGTTTACCAGGGACGGTCGACGCGATTCTGAGGGTGATAAGGGACCTGTTGATATAGGTGGGGGGATGGAGTGAGAGGATGGCGCGTCGGTCAACAGATTGGTGCTTGAATCGACCCGTCTCATGTTCTTGGAGGAATGGTTCATGGAGGCTTTGGCTGAGCGGATTTTAAACGAGGCTGTGATCAGCGAACAATCGTTCAAACACCTTTTCCCCGTCATTTGACGATCGTACAGGCATAGGCACTCACCAGAAGAAACCTCCTCCTTGTTCTGAACCGCTCGCATCTCGATTACGCCAGCCTTGTCCAAGGTCGAGCTCTTCTTCCTCCCCTTCTCCCTCTCAGTTCGGGTGAGCGTCTTCCACGCCCACTCTACACTTTGAGGAACAAACCCGATCAACGACCAATGACCCATGCATCCGAACCAGATCACATGTCTCTCTTTGATGGTTGGTGACGCGTGCTTGCCTCTTCCCAGAGGTGTCGGCGTCGGATCGGACAAGAAAGCAGGTGGGGCGATGGGCGAGGTGATGGTTATTGAGCAGATCAGCAGAGAGCGGTAGAGCAAAGTCGGGGTTCGAAGCGAGATAGCAACGTGATTGGCGAACCGGAAGGGCGCGACAGTATGCGTTGGCGTCTCCGCTCCGGAGGCCGAGCTTCGTCGAGCATCGGGAGTCGCGGCAGTGATGGGAATGGGCGTGGAGGAAGAGGGAAGTTGCGCTTGTTCGTCGGTGAGCGGTGGTGCTGATGTGGTGTCGTCTGTCTCGGAACGCCGGATGTCCGCAAGATGACGTCGGAACGACATTTCGGTAAGGTGGGCCCGGAACGAAGATTCAGTCGGGTTTGTGACAACAGCTGTGGCGTAAAATCCCAGCATGATTAGCACTTGTACCAGCTTTTACGTGACGCATAGGCGCAGGAGGGAGGTTCAAGCGCGTGAGATGTGGATGACCAGACCCGACACCGCTCTTGCTCGACTCACCAAACAAAAGCATGATCGCGAAGATGGCAAACCAGAAGAATAGGTTCCTCCAATCCGTTCCATGATGATGATATCCCGAGTTGTGCGAATGACCGTAACCTAAACCAGGAACCCAGCTGAGCCAACCCGAGGGCGCACCTCGTGAAGATGAGTCTGACCATAAGACATCCCCCGCTGCTGCCCAGACAGACTCTGCGTCCATCGCACCTGAGCCCGCTGCTGAAAGCTCGGTGGCATGGTCCGAGGAGGGAGCAGAGCCCGTCAGGACTTGCGATAGGGTGTCCCTCAGTGACCGGAGGGACATCGGATTGGCGTTAAATGGGTGATTTAGAAACCCCGATAACAGATATGACAAGAGAAGTAGTGCGCAGGGGTCGATTTAGGCTGAAAGAGGATTCAGAGGGGAAGGGAGCCGAAGAGATATGCTTGAGATTGACCTTGTCATCGGCGGCGTCACGCGTGTATGTCAAGTCCTCTCGTTGACGTCCTCCTTCCTTGTCCTGGATAATCCACCTATTGACGTCCTCCTGTGCCCTGGACCGAAATCCGACCGAGAAAAAAACTGCAAGAAGATGCCGTGCACCGATGGGACGTAACGT